TTCACATCTTACCCCCCCTCCCCCCCAGTGGCACAGTGGTATGTCTGCAGACTTACAATTTTTTTTAGAAATTGGGTTTTGATACCTGTGGTAGGCAAAGCACAGATAGCCCATTGTGTAGCTTTGTGCTTAACTTCAAACAAACAAACACAGCTTATCTTGACTATGTGTGATTGTTTTAGTTTGAACTTATATTATGAGACTTTAAAGTGCATATAATTGCTAGCTTAAATAATTTGTCAAATGCATCTGGAAAATCAAGCATTACTTTAATCAGACATGCAAGAGTAGATTAGATGGTTAAGACAAACTTTCAGTTTTTTGCATTATGAAACATAAATATGAAATGTTCATAAAATTTAAACAGTTCAATGTTTTTGTTAATTTTTTTAGAAAAAAATTCATTACATATACTTAGCAGTGTGAAATTATGATTATGAAAGTATGTATTATTCATGACTTTGGCATCTGTTTCTCATCTTAAGTCTTGTGATATCTTTTCTTCCAAGTGGTGAATATGAGGAAGTTCAGTTGCATAAGTACATATTACTTTCCTTTTGGTAATCAAAAACTGCATAAAAAAATAGCAATACAGTGTTCAAGAGCTCATTCATGTGACAACTCTATTATTTATTGTATATGGTATTTGCTGTATGCATATGGTATTTCATTTTGTTCTCATTACTAAATTTTGTGCTCCCCAGTGGCATAGCAATATGTCTGCAGACTTATAATGCTAGAAACCAGGTTTCAATACCCATGGTGGGAAAAGCACAGATAGCCAATTCTGTAGCTTTGTGCTTAACTACAAACAAACAAATACTAAATTTTGCAAAACACTTATCTGTTTGCTGTTCTTATTTATGTTGGTAGAGCATCCACATATTTTCACTGTCTCAAGCTTTAACTCAGTGTTTCTTGTAAAAATTAAGCAAAAGTAATTCTTGACACTTGAAGTGATAACAAAACTCATTAAACTTTTAAAGCTGAACCTGGTACATTAATAACTAATACTTTTAATCTCTAATATGTTAGATTATGAGTTGGCAACCTAAATAACAAGAAGAGCCATTTTTTTTCATATTTTGTAAAAATGCAAGATACTGAGAGTTGCAATGCATGTTACCCCTATTTCAATAATTGGACTGCTAGAGGGTTAAAGAACTACATGTGGCTCTGGAGTTGCAGGTTGCTGACTCTTATGTTAAATTAACATGAAAGGTTTTCACATTTTTATGTTAACATTTATATTGAAGGTGGGTAGCAGCACTGTTTCACAGCCTGTAATTTGTCTGTGTTTTTGTATTTAAGAAAGAGACAACTAGCATTATTCAATTAACTAAAGAAAACAACTAATTAAGAAAACTTAATTCTAGCCTTCAACAGGAATTTATTCATCAGATAGAGATTTTTTTTTCAACTGATTTTAAGATTTGGTTGCTATACATGAAGATGGTCACAGTCCTACAAAAGCTTTCTCATAAACCCATAGATAAAGAATAATTTTTCAGTTTGCTTCTTTACATCCTCACCACTGTAACAAAAAAAAAAAAATACACACACATATACATGCACATATATATAAAATTTTATTTTGTACAGCTGTGAGGATGTAAAGAGGTAGGTTTAAAGATTATTCTTTACCTGTAGGTTCATGAAAAATCTTTTGTAGGAAGGTGACAATCTTCATGTATAGCAGTCAAAACTAAAAATCAGTTGAAAAAACATATTTTTTATTTGATGGTTAAATTCCTGTTGAAGGCTAGAATCAATTTGTTTTTAAATTAGTTATTTTCTATATTTACTTTAATAATTTCTGGGATATTATACCTAACACATTGAAGTGAATTGATAATCTGGATTCTATTGAATTACCGCTGGGTAATTTAGAAATGGAATATTTTTAATTTTTTTTTACAGTAGCGCAAACTTCTTTATCTTTATGTGCTGAGTGACTCTCTTTTATGTGATTGACTGTAGTTTTCATATTATTTTGTTATTTTCTGGTTTAAGAATGTAATGTATTCAGAATAATGGTCTGAATAACATATTATATATAAATATCTTGTACTTGAACTTAGGTGAACTTTTCAGTGTTGCACAGTTAGTGCTATAATCTTTTTACAAGTGTTTCTTAAATTTAGTGATTTAGTTTTATTAAATTAAAAAAATTAAAAATTCCATATTATAATTTGTAATATATGAACTACAAACAATTAATGCAGAATAACTTACAATGTTCATTTTATTTGTCAGATATGTTTTTGTTATTTATATTCATGGATACTATTGTTTAATACTTTATTATTCTAATTGTTCAGGATATAACAGTTTTGGAGATCATGATGGGATTATTGCTTATGATGTAAAAGGCTTTGACAAGGAAGGATACAATCGAGCAGGCTTCAATTGTCAGGGTTATTCTCGTGATGGCTGGAATTATTATGGACTCTGTGCTGGTTGGAAGTATGAATGCAGGGCCATGTCCCTTTATGACTGTCAGAGAATAGAAACTGAGTATCCCTATTTAAAGAGGCAAGTTGTGAAGTTTGCCTTAGGTAGAAAATGTGAAGAGACTCAATGTGAAGAACTCTGTGGTTGTATGTTTTTAGAGCATTCCTATGTTTTGGGTGAGAAGTTTAAAATGGGGTGCACATCATGTGAGTGTCAACTATCTGGAATAATACATTGTTCATGCCCCCATCTTCTTGTTAGGAAAGAGATAAGAGACTTGACCATAGAGGAGTTGAAGCGATTTCAAGAGGCTGTGAAGTACCTCCAGACATCAACAGGATTTCCATCTAGGTGGCATTATTTCACTTCCTTATACCACGATTACATTGCTCAGGCTCATGGGGGACCTTTTTTTCTCCCATGGCACCGATTCTTTTTAAGACTTGTTGAGATGGAACTTCAAAAATTAGATTGTGAAATTACAATTCCTTACTTTGATTGGACTGTCGATGTTGGAGCCTTAGATACATCAGTTGTTTGGCAGGCAAATTACTTTGGAGGAAATGGAAACATTGATGATGGGTACTGTGTAACTTACCATCCTTTTAAAGATTCCTTGCAGCCACATTGGATGCCTTGCCTCCAAAGAAACTTCAACTTGTCTGTACACTTACCTGATGCAGTAAACCTACAATTGATTCTGAATGAAGAATCATATGACAACTTCAGAATTAAGTTAGAATCTATTAGCAGCCTTTTTCATCTTTTTGTGGGGGGCCAAATGGCCTCCCCAGATAGTGCTTATGATCCAATCTTTCTGGTACATATTGCTTTTGTGGACAAATTGTGGGATAATTGGCAGCACCAAAAGAAAACTTCTATTCCTCAATTTCCACCAGAACTTCGATATGTTCCAATGATGCCTTTTGATGTCACTCCTGATGATGTACTTGTAAGTCACCAGCAACTTTGTGTGACTTATTTACTGCCAACAGAAGGTACTCCTTGTAACGCTAGTACAATTGTGTCTCATGAACAAGAAAATAGAGACTTTGATCTTAATGGTTTTGACAGGAATGGCTATGACAGAAATGGTTATGACAGCATGGGTTGGAACTTTAATGGATTCAGTAAAGATTTCTTTAACAGAGATGGTTTTGATCATAATGGATATGACCTTTCAGGCTATAACCGTTATGGATTTGATAGAAGTGGCTGTAAAGACACTGGATTTTGCATTAAAGTTGGAATAGAAATCCAACCTGATAGCCTACCTGGTGGTTTTGACAGTAATGGCTACAATCGCTTTGGCTTCAATGTTTTTGGTTATGATAGAAGAGGCTATGACATCTATGGGTTTGACAGCAAAGGCCTTGATGAAAATCACTGCAGTTATGGGCATGAAGGTCCATTTTATCCTCACTTCAAACACTGGGTAGAGGAACAATTATCACTAGTTCCTATTGAGAAACTTCCAACAATTGAAAGAATTTGTCCCCAGATGTCCACAGTTCCTAACTGGTGGCTAGAGTTGGTTTGGCTTGTTAGAGATGGCCAAGTTGATGTGATAAGAGAATTTGAGGTCACAGTAACTCTTCAGCATCCAGTGGATACTAAATATATAGGAGAAACTTCTAATGGAGAATGGCAGCCACCTATGCCTGATGAAAGGTGAATTTTATGTAAATCTTTATTTTCATACAATCATTTTGATTATAATAGACTTTTTTGTATGACATGTAGTTCAAATTTATCATATCAATTGGTGTGTTTTTACTACTAACAGACTTAGTTCTGCATATCAGTTTCTTGTTTTCATACTGGAAAATACTCATCTTGTCATGATACTTTTTTACCTTTTTCAGTTTTTATAGTAACTCTGTTGTGATACAGTGAGTGTTTGATTGAAACACAGTTACTTATATATATATATATATATATATATCTTAAAAGTCTAATCTGACTACTTCAGTTTTTTATTTTTATTTTACAGGTATTCTACTTTGTTTTTCTTTTTTATATTTACAATAAGCAGGTTGAACCTGTGACAGTCATTGTGTTTGTTGAAGTTAAAATAAATGATATATAGTGAAGTTTTACAATACTTTACATTTTGTTATTAGTATAACTTTTTAATGCTATGAAGTTAAATCCTAGTTTTACAGAATTCTGTAAGATCTATAAATTTTTTCAATGTATCAATTTGGGCTAGGTTTTGTTTTAAGCTAAATTTCTACACTGGTTGTGATATGGGAACCATGCCTTTGCTCTGTACTCATGACAAATGTACAAATGCCTCCTGTCCTGGATTTCCTGATGCTCACTGTCAACCTAAAGGATGTGATGTGTGTGAAGCAACATTTGTGGATGGATCATCAGGAGAAACTGTGGAGTGTTTGAATCAAAGTAATCACTTTATATTTTATAGAAACATATACATGATATCGTTTATTTACATACTTTGGTTCTAGCTTTTTTTATGTTAATCAAAACTGTATGTTTTTATCTATACCGAGGTATATATCTGATTATTTCAAGTGTTTACAAATTGTTTACAAGACAGCTGCAACAAAGAACAATTTTGTGCAAATGGCAGCATCATTTGTAAGAACATATCTCTGACCTTCTTTTCAATGGCATAATTGGATGTAAATTTGTTAAAACAGACTTAAATAAAGATAATTTTACATTGTTTTTGCATGTTAATTTAGGACAAAGTCAATACCGAAAGGCTGACTCTTTTGGAGTATTATAAGGACTGGAGAATAAACCTTTGTTAATTATGATTATACTTAATTGATCATTAAATTATAATTAATTACAAAATAGTATTTTACTAATTAGCTCAAACTGCAATGTAATATTTGTATATATTGTTAAACATTACTTTTTTGGTTGTTTCATTAATGTACATTTTAGTTGAATTATTATAGTTCTAATGAGAATGTTTAGATATTAATCACAAAGATGCCAGTTTGTTTATTATTTGGATATGAAAATATCTCTTAATTATTACAATACAGACACTTTGGTTTGACTTGCATATGATGATTAGACATAAAATTGTTTGACAGCTTAAATACTGAGCATAGTTTGAATTGAGTGTAAGGTAACATCAGTAAAGATTTTTGGTATATTTTTATTGAAGGAGAATAACATTCATTGTATGTAATACATGCAGGGCTATTAATTTAAACTTATCATTGTTGTTAAGTTCCATGACCATGTAAAATAATATATATATTTCAGTGTTTAATAATTCTCAACTGTTTGCTTGACATATATTTTTATGTAATTATAAAATTATCTTTGTAGTAGTTGTAGTTTTATCCTAATATTATAAACCAGCCATGATCTGTAAAACATTTTCTGTAGTTTTCATGCCCTTCACTTGAATTTTCCTTATTCTGTCATTTTCACGCAAGCCATTTAAACTATGCTTTCTTGCAGGCATTATGTGTTAGGACAATAAATTTTTGTCTACTTGAAAAAATTACATAATCAGACAAATAAACTCACGTAGACATAACTTTATTTAATAAAACTACACAAGCACAGATAGCCCATTGTGTAGCTTTGTGCTTAACTTCAAACAAAGAAGCAAACAAAAACTACACATAAAATAAACATTAAAGCAGTGTAATGGTCTGTTTAAAACAATTATATGCAGTCAGAAAAACAAACTCATTTATACATAACTTTTTTTAATAAAATTACACGTATGTAACTTTACTTAATAAAATTACACATAATATAAACAATAAAGTAATGATATTTGTTATAGTATACAGAGTATGAAACAATTATGAGTATTCAGTGTATGACACAGTTTTACAAGTTGAAACAAAGAAACTCACAAAAATGAAGAATAAAACTGTAGTAAAGAAAAAAAGTAGCTAAAAGTTGTTTATAGCAGTCAATGAAATGAACCAAAGCTAAGTTATTGCAAAGTAAAGTAATGTAAAATTGTAATGAAGGCAAATTTAGTTGAATATGTAGAAACTTCTGAATTTGTGTTCACAAAGTGATAAGCATATAGTTTTTAATGAACTGCTTGTGCACATTTTAGACCTAAAAAAGTCAAGAAATTGTATTTAGTATAATAAAACACTTGGTTGCTTACCAAACATAATACATACAAAGTACAGATAAGCCACCTAAGAAAAATATTTCACTGACAGAATGCCAGGACAAAAATGGAACTTTCCGAGAAGATGGAGAAGTGTGGTACGAAAATGTTTGCCAAAAATGCAGATGTGAGGTATGGTCTTACTTAAGAAAAAAAATGTGAAAAATTCATTGATAAAATTACTCCATAACAAATAGTAACTGTTTTAAGTGTGACAACTCAAAATACTGAGTGCTAGTTTTTAACATACCTAACGTATGTGGCATGGTCTGGATTGATTTCAAAAACAGATCTTTATTCATTATAGAGTTTCTTGCATTTTTGAAATTTCATAATAGATTGGAATAATCCCTGTTTTAATTTTTGTTAGCTCTTATTCTTTTAAAATTTACTGAAGAGTTGTTTGATGAGAATATCATATGGAAATAATTTATATTGTGATACTGTCTTCCTTAGAAGTTTAATATAAGTTTATTATCTTATTGTGTGTGTTATTAGTTAAAAGTGTTATACATTGTAATCAGTTACACAAGTTATTTTCAGGTTAGTGGTTTACCAAAGCTAGTATTTTGACATTTTGCATAGTGGCTCATAGAATGACTCTAAGTCTTTTTTTTTCAAGTACAAACTTTTAGCTCATAGCTCCATCTTTTGACCGATTTGAGATCTAATTACAGCCATGGCTATTGAAGATTCCCTCTTGTTTTTATATATATAGTGATTTTGTGAGATTTTTTAACACATGATCAAATTAGTATTGACCAAAATATGTAATCATACATCAATGACTTGGTGTTAATTTTTTATCAAAGTAATCTTTCTTTTCTCTGTTTGTAACTGTTTTATTGTAATTTAAAAATAATGTCAGTCTTCCAGTAAGTAGCATAAATGTGATGCAAAAATCAGTGGTAATTAAAAGTTAAAATGTTTTTATATGCTAAAGTTTATGCTAAACATGAAAATATTTTTCATGCATATGCCATAATCTTTGCCATTCTTTATATTTTTAATTGAAAAAAAAATTATGCATACTCCCTATGAATGACCTGGTATATCTGGAGTTCCTTCAGAGGGTCAGCAGTAAGTTTGTGGACTTGCAACAATGTTAAAATGTGAGGTTCGTTTCCCCACAATGAATAGATTGCAGATAGTCAATTGTGTAACTTTGCACTAAAATAAACAACCAAAGAAACAATATACATCTGGAAATAGGTGTAATACAGTTAGAGAAAAATTGGCATGAATTATGAACTTTGGACAGTCTTAATCATCTAATTCCTAATAGTTTACAAGTACATGTTTGTAAGATACTAGAACATAACAGCTTTTCTTTATGCTAAGTAATTATTTATATTCTAATGCATAATTTTTTTTACCTTAGTGCAGATAATACTGTGCCATGATTTTTATGTTTAAAGTATATGTGCATATTTTATTTTTTTATTAGTTGTGCTTTTCAGTGACAGTTTCAGTTATTTAGGCAGGTCAAGTAACATGCATACATGTGACATGCCAGAAAAATTATGCCTGTCTTCACCCTATCAGGAAAGATGGACAGTGCTGTCCTCTATGCAAAGGTAAAAATGTTTTAACACAAGCTGCCAGAAATGTAAACTTATGTTGATGAATGTTTTAAGTTAATTATTTGCACTTTAAAATATGTTTTATTTTAGAAATCAAATATATTGTCGTAAGCTATATTTTTAATGTTGTAATTTTTGTTTGCTAAAGAGCTGTGCATCTTACTGATGACATTAAGATCAGAAAGTTTAATAAGATAGACTTAGAATACCTAAAAAGTCTTGAAAGATTTGATATCAAGTTTTCTAGTAAATTTGAAGGTAGATTACAGATATGAGATATTTGTGAAGAGTATAGAGATGCTTCAAAATAGTAGAGCTGGTAGAGTGAATCAGTCAGTGTTTTCACATTTTTTTGTTACTTTATCAGCCATGAACTTGTACAAGTAAGTTTATTTTTACATTAGTGTAGTACAGTTAGTGTGATTGTAAACTTAGGCCTACAAGTTACAAAGTGTTATAAGCCTGAAGAAATGTTAAAGAAGAAATAAACCAATTTGCTTTCATTTACAGGGACTGGTGTTTAAATTGTTTTCACAAGATAATTTAAAATAATCCACCAATAAAAGAATAATGTTAAAACAATATATATTGTTGTGTATCATTAAAATATTTAAGGTGATCATTATCTTAGTTAGTTACAAAAAATGACATGACCCTTGTGGTACAATATAGTGTCTACTACTAGCCTTATAAAAGTTTATAGAGTAAAAATAATAAAAACATTTTGGACTTAAAAAAAAAGTTTGGAACATTTCGTATAATGGAGTTGTAATGTAAGTTTGAATTCATCATTACACACACAAGTACAACTACTTTTGCCTTTACTGTAAATGCTTTTGGTGCTTTGCAAGCTACACAGATTGAAAATGAAGTTTCATTGTTTTTACAGTTTCTCCTTGTACCTGCTCATTATCATAGAATATTTGATAAATTGGTTGAAGCATAACAGAAATATAATCCAGTCTATAGAAGCTGCAATTAGGTTAAAAAATAGGGAGATTTTTGTCTATAACAGCAATAATGAAGTTAAAATAAATAATTTTGGTCAGTTTATGGTTGCACTTTTATATTGTTTCATCAGATGATTAGGGAAGCTGCTGACTAATCAAACGTATTCAAATTGAATATAAGAAATTTTAGGGAAATGGCATAATACTTTAAAAAAAAATTGTATACAGTTCTTAATAAGGAGACAAAGTTACACAGTTTAAGTTGTTCCTTTACTTAAACTTTTGAGTGTAAACATATTTAAATTTTTGTTGAAAATACAGAATATTCAAATAAATTTATAATGGAGCTTTTTTTCTTCACAAGAACACTTTAATACTAACTATTCTATAGTATGGCTGTTGCTTTTACTATGAATGAAAATGTAATAATAAAAGAAACTGCAATAATGCAAATATTATCAAGGTTTAGCAGATAAAATTTCAAAGTAGAGTTTGGATTCTTAGAATTTCTTCATATTTGACAAATTTTGTGTGGATTAAAATGTATTTTTTAAGTAGATAGTACTGTAAAATAGCAAAACATTATGATATCCTATTCCATAATTAAAAAACAATTTTTGTTCCCATTCTTTAGCAATTTATAATTTAAAGGTTTCATTGGGTACTTTAAAGTGAGCCATCTATCATAACTGAGCATGTTTCTGTTTTTCACACCAATGTATGTACAGATAAGAAAATCATTTTAAAATGTTAGAAATAGGTGACTGATAGGAGTATATAACTGTGTGTCATGCATTTGGGAAGTTAATGACAAAATAGTGTGATGAAGAATAACAACTAAAAAGTAACCAGCTTACAATTTAAGGAGAAGTAGAGAAGCTGAATTTCATGGTTTTAAAGTTACAGTTAAACTAGGTTCTCTCTAATTTTTAACTTCTACTTATTCTCATCTCTATTGACATTTTATGAAATTGTCTGATTTAATTGAAACTTTACATTCTGTTAATGTTTGTTAAGCAATTCTGGAAATATTCAACAGGTTTATTAGAATGTGCTCTTTTTAACAAGTGAACAGTCACTTAGTGGTGAATTTAGCTTAATTTTTTACATAGCAAAGAAACTTTTTCTTATAAATAACAAATGTTCTTAAAATAAAGTTCTTGTTAAAAATATTTAAACGTTCAAGTATGTCTATAATTTTTTTTCTTAATTTATTGAAAGTTTTAATTTGTATAAAGAAAATTACTACAAGTTCTTTTTAAAAGAATGAACTGTATGATGGGTGGTCATAACTTACAAATAAAACTGTAATTAAATTCATTAGATTTTAAAAATTCTTTAATTCAACTTATTTCTTCACATATTAAAGTATAACTCCTTACAGACTTGTAAGTATAATTCTGTAATAACTATATCCCCATAAAAACTCAAAATTGATAACTTAAAAACTATCTTTTATGTGTATGAATAGGTTGTATGTATGAAGGACAAGTATATGAAAACAACACGAAGTTTAATCACCCCCAAGACCCATGTCTCACATGCATATGTACAAATGGGACAGTACAGTGTACTAGTACTGTCTGTCCTTTGACAAACTCCTGTGACCCAAAAGACCTTATAACACCTGTAGGTCATTGCTGTCCTCTGTGCACTACATGTGGACCACATCAACATGGGTCACATTGGCAAGAAGAACCTTGTAAAATATGTACATGTAAGGTATGCACTGTGTCTAGTAGCTATTTGGAGTTATTTTGAAATTATTATTCAATGCAAGTATTATATGTTTTACAGGTTTTATGGATGGGAGTCCATAGTTATGCCTAATTTTCTAATTATACTAGATTTTAATACATACTGAAGAACAAATTTTTAGTGATGTTTCCAGTATTTTTGTAAAGTAATCTTCCTAGAAATGCCTTATTATGTACAACAGTGGCAAAAACTGTAACTGAGGGCTAGCATATGAATATATGACTAATAAAACACAGACGTACACACAATCAGTGAGTTAAATAATATGATTCTTTATTTACAAATAAACAGATAGATATATAACATAAAAATAAACAACACATTTTAATTTTTACTGTTTTAGAAATCCTTTGACTACTTTGTTCTGATCAACAATTAACTCGTCATTTATCACAGCAACTAAATTATAATAACATCTCCATACATTCAGAGGACCAATAATCACAAGAATATTCAAAAGCCATGAAGTTAGACACTGAATTTAGGATTTGACCAATGCAAAATGATTGTGCATTTTACTTGATGAATACAAAAACAAGCTTTAAACAGTGCAGTAATATAGAAAATATCCATTCTTGATTGAAATGAAAAGATAAGAGCTGTGTAAATGTTAGGTGATTGAACTAGATCAACCATTATCTCAGTAAATAATCTATACTATTATTCTGCTTGTATACATTAACACGACAAGCTTATAGTCACATGAAAATTAAATGATCATTGCCAAATATTAAAAAAAACAAAAAAAAACGCTTGAGATTTGAGTGTTTGTAATGCACACTGAAGAGTTTTTGACATATTTACATAAATTATATATGATTAAAGTTCAGAAAATAAAACTGGTTTTATTTTATACCACTTTTTGCTTTCTCAGTTTTTTGACAAATGTCTTCATAAGGAAACTGATTACTGTATTTTAGCAAAGCTGAACTTACTGCTGGTTTCTTAATGAATCCCACATAAGAATAAAAATAAAAACATTGATTGAAAAACACATGGATGGATATACATTAAACAGTGATAAATACTGTTTCATAACAGTGTTGTTGATTATAATATTATTAGGAGTAAATAGTAGATAATTAAATATTAGCATTCAAAAGATATTTCATAGTTTAACTTACATAATTGAACATTCTGAAATATATCAGTTGGTAGTTAGTGTATGCAAAGTAAAGTTTCATTTATTCTTGAAAGTTATGGAAGTACATTTGCAAAACTTTCACAGGAAATGTAGTTATATAGAAGATTATAAAACCCAGACAAGGTCCTAGTTGCTTTCATGATGTAGTTTTTGGTGATAATTTGTATGATATATATCTTTTTAGCTGCTGTAATAAGGCTTTATATGTAATGCTTTGCTGCATAGCACTCGAAACATTATATTGATAAATGTCTGTCATGGGTTTTAAACTCCCCAAGTGCAGTTCTTGATCTATTTTTCTTATGTAAAATTTGCTAAATTCTTTTCATGATATTTTGTACACTATGTTTTTTTTACATGATATAATTCTTTCAAACCTTGTTGAGAAGCTAAATAGTTTCTCTTCTGATAAGTTGTATTCAGGTTAAATGCAGATCCAACAATTGTGTTTTTTTAGAATTTTTCCAAGAAATTCAACTATCTTTATGGGTAAGCCCATCTTCTTAACAGTTTTGTGAAGTTGTTTAATTAAATTTTTTACTAATAAAGAGAATAATCCATATAACAAGTTTGTCTTGTGTCCATGTGTGATATTTTTAACTAGTTAATACTGTAGCAGCTATTTATTAGATCTTAATTAATACGTTTGATATATTGGGATAGAGTCACTGTAAGTATATAGAATGAACTTAAAATACTATTGATATAGAATTTATACTTTACTTTTTACACAGGTCAGGGAAAAATTAGATCTACTAATTCGATGACGAGGAACCCACTTTGAGACTAATAATGGCTGGAGACGGCGTTAAATAGGTAGTAGTAGAAAAAAATATATATATATATTACTTACTACTACTACTACTACGTACTACTACTACTACTACTACTACT